GAACACCTGAATCCAATGATTTGGAGAGCTGGCCCAATACTTCTGGCAATATAGTGTAGCTAAATGGTTAGCACTTCCGCCTGTCAGTACTAGGGTCATTGGTTTGAATCTCAACCACGGCACCACCTGCTTGCATATTCTCCCTGTGCGGGTTTCCTCCGGCTACTCAATTTCCTCCCACACTCCAAAGACATGCTGGTAGGTTAATTGGATCCTGTCTATCTTGGCCCTAGTATGTGTATGTATGAATGTAAATTAGGGATTTTAGATTGTACGCCCCTTGAGGGTTAGGTAGTGATGTGAATGTACAATATAGATGTAAAGCGCTGCATAAACTGATGGCGCTATATAAGTACCTGTAATAAATAAATATATAAATAGTGTGTATATGTGTCACACAAGAGTATAAAAAAAACAAAGTGGACGAAAACCCTAACTATAATAATTCTTCAACACGTTCCCTCCCTTCTCCTCCTACCTATCTGGCATAACCTATCTAAAAATAAAAAACAAACAAACCCAAAACAAACAAAAAAAGAAAAACGAACAAAACGAAAAAAAAAAAAAAAAAAAGTGCGTACTTACCCATTATCATTACGCTCTAGTCCAGTCTGGTCATGAGATCCTGCAGCTCTGTGTAAGGAAGCACTTCACAACTGTTGTGATTTCTGGGAACCATGACGTCACCCATACCCTCCCACAGCCCAGACCACCTCTCCCCCCCTGCAGCCACGTGACGGAACTGGATTAAAAATAAGTACATACATCTTTTTTACACAAGTTAGGTAGGAGAAGGGGCAAAATATTTTTAAGAATAGTTATAGTTATGCTTGTCTTACACTTTACTGCAGTTATGTTTTCATTAACAAAATCAATATTTTTCAAAATGAACACAGTAAGGGGTTTATTTATAAAGATTTCACAAGGATTCACACAGCCATCACAAATATCCCTTTTATTTTAATTTTCACCTCCATGTAGTAGACAATGTATTTTACTGCTTGTGGCATTTCAAGAACATATCGCATGGGCACTAGAAAAGGGCTGAAATTCATAGGAAAAACATATTAGAGAAAACATGGCGGTTATTCAATGGAGGCTGTTTGAATGCTTGTGACAGTCATACAGAAAAATTTTTATAAAACACATCCCTAGAAGTATGTGAATTGGTTTTGACTAAGCAAATTGTAAGCATTTATGTTAATGGCTAGGATTTTTTTTTTCTTTTTCACAAGAGAATTATTTAAGAAATCCACAATACTATAACAGTAAACACGCAAGAACTGAAAAGCCTAGTCCCTAAAAAACATCAATACAAAAAAAAACTGACGCCAGTTACTGCAACAGTGATCCTAATCCTCGGTTTACTATTTAAAGTGTATATTTGGGAAAAAAAATATATATTCAGTACGGACATGGAATAAGCATGCAGTCAGTGAAATCATAAATCCTGATCCACCAAATAATGAAGCTCAGTTCAGAATAACAGTCATAGAGCTTGTACCATCGGAAACAAGTTGGCAAAAGAATACATTATATTTTTATTCTGACAGGTTCCCCTGCTTCAACAGCTAGCTGAGCGACATGATCCCCCACTAGCTGCCAAAGTTGGAAAAAAAAAAAAAAAAAAACCAGCAGCAGTGCAGGGTTCCGCCTGCCTAGCCGTGTCACTCATTCACAATCCTCACAATGTGAATGAGAAACTACAAGTCCTGATAGCCTTTGCGGCTGTTAGCTTGTAGTTCACAATGGTAGTTCATTATTATTATCATACAGGATTTATGTAACGCTAACAGTTTGCTCAGCGCTTTACAACATAGTTCATTGATTCTTCCCGTACGGAATATGCTGACAGGTCTGCAGGAGACCTGCATGGCACCAGCGATCTGCTAATGGCTGGTGCAAAGGTTTATAGACTCCTGCAACAACAAATAATAAATGCACATTTTTTATGTTAATACATGTGTATTTATTATTTTTTTGTAGCAAAAGGTGAACTTATTCTTTAAAGGCTCACACCTTCCCTAAACAACTAGAAATAAGGGCTGTCTTATGAGTTTGGTGACATCAAGGAACATACAGTGCATAACACATAGTATAATTTACCCCTCACTAATTTTTCAAAGTGAAATAAGTTATAACATCTACTAGGCACTAATATTTTCATAAGTCTTTAAAGTAGAACTAAAAGGGAAATTTTTTTTTTTCATTTTGGATAGAGTAAGGGAGCGTTATAACCCCAGTAAGGTTTATCACGTTTGTCCCATTGGATAGATATCCAATCACTTCCTGTCCCATAGCCAAACCAGGAAGTGAAGGAATCCCTGGTTGTCACCAGATTTCTCCTCTATTCCTGTTCTGAGGACAAGCCAAAATTTGGGATTTTATTTTACTTTCAGTGATGATGGTAAACCGATAAATAGAGAGGGTGAATCTCCTTAATGGCAGCAATAAGAGAGCAATAAAAACCTGACAGGTGTTCTAATCCCTCTCAACCCTATCCAAAAAAAAAAGAGTTTTGCCTTTAGTGACACTAAGTACAGTCTACAAATAAAATCTACAGATGTAATAATGGAGTAAAAAATTATTCTTACCTTCTGTTTTACCTTTAGTTAGACTTTTATGCCCAATTCATGCCAGTGCTTTTTTCTTACTTAGTTTTTTTACCCCATAGCATGGGGACAAATTAAAACCTCAGTCAGGTTTTTTTAATGCAATTTATGTTTTCTATTGTAGCGTCTCTCACTTCCCTGAGATTCCCAGTGATAGGAAGTGAAGGAAATTCTCCCTGACTTGGAGACTAACAGCAACACCTGTCAGAGGTTCTAACTCTTCCCCATCACATTAAAAAATAATTTATACAGTAGTCAGGATAATTACTGGAAAAGTTTCCCCTAACTCCCTGACACAGTTAAAAAGCCAAGGAAATAAAGTAGAATTGAGATAGAAAACTTCTTTTTTAGTTTTGACTAGAATGGACACAGGTAAACCAAACATTTGAATTGCTTTAAGGCAGCCACTTTTTGGGGCGTCAGGCATTTTTTTGTTAATGCTTCCAAACAGCCTTCCATGTCATGCTATGTGTCCATGCACACACAGACTTTGAGAAGCTTTTGGTAGCAGTAACGTTTACCAGCAGGAAAAAAACCCAGGGCAAGTGCGCCCAGGAGCAGCAGCGTTCTGGCAAAAAAAAATGCGTGTAAACGTGCATTAACGCTAGGCACGTTTAACAATTGAGCGTTAATTAATTTAAATGGCCAGAATAAATTATTACTCTAGCCAATGAAATGAATCAACGCCCAAACGTTTAACGCTTTAGACACTTTGACAAGCGTCAGGTGTTTTTTCTGCCAAAAACACTGCTGTCAAGAGGTGGAGAATTTTTAAAACGTCCTGTGTGCATAAGGCCATAATGTTACTGTTGGAGAGACTTTTCTTCATTTCCCTCCAGTGCCACATAAAGTGGAACCACACTGCAAGAATGCTATTGAATTCATTTTTTAATATTCAGTGCAGAATCCCCCATCCATCCATGAAAAACACACCCTAGCCCCCATGGCCATCTTGAGTAAGGGCAAATGAGTCATGTAGCACTGACTTCCTGGAATCCAGCTGCCCTTTGTTCACTCACAGGAGGAGGGTGTGCTTTGTTGAGAACCCCCCCCTCCTCTAGATGTATGACATAATTTGCATAGGCAAGAAACCAGTATGCAACGAATGTAAAAAAAGGAATAAAAAAAAAGTTGAAAACAAGTAAATATAATACACACTTTCCTATCTCTTTATTAATTCTAGCAGCAGTAATAATAGTCAATGTTGATTGAGAGAGTGAAGTTTCAAAATTAGTAGTAAGATGAATTCATGTAAGCACGCGCTAAAATATAAACAGAATGGCAAACCCTGCCCCACTCTGCTGATGTTTCCCACATCATTCATTCACAGTGTTCTGTGAATGAATGGACTACAAGTCCCGACATCATTAGGAGCTGTCAGCTTGTTGTTCTCAATGAACTACCACGGCGCCGGGAGCACTGTGGTTCATCGAATCTTCCTTTCAGATGTAATGGCTTGCCCGTAATGGAAGTTTGAGCAAGCCGATAAACTGACAGATCTGCAGGAGATCTGCTGATAGCTGGTGCAATGCTTTACAGGCTCTCAATACAAAAAAATAATAAATGCACATTATTTTACCTGCAATAAAATGTTTGTTTATTTTTTTTTTTTTTGTAGAAAGAAGAACTTACCCTTTAAAAAGGAAATATCCTTAAAGTTGAATTCCAGGCTAGAACTATGTTTCAAACGTTTCCATCCCCTCTTAACATCTATACTAACTACCCCGTAAAATGAGGATGCATAATTATTTATTACAGGTAACTTTATAGCGCCATCAATTTACACAGCACTTTACATGTATGTTGTACATTCACATCAGTCCCTGCCCTAAAGGAGCATACAATCTAAGGTCCCTAAACGCACATTCCCACATATATTAAGACTAATTTAGACCGGAGCCAATTAAGCTACCAGTATGCCCTTGGAGTGTGGAAGGAAACCGGAGTACCCGGAGGAATCCCATGCAGGCACAGGGAGAACATGCAATTTCCAGGCAGATAGTGCCATGGTTGGGATTTCTACCTATTCTCAGAGTTATCTTACACAGTCATATGATCGGCTCGGATAAAATATACTGACACTAATTTAAGGCATGCTCGCTCCAGGTGATTAAAAAAAGGACATAATTCAGGTGCAGTCTGGCCAACAGAATTTTCTTCAGGAGGGCAGTAATTACAGCTCCCATAATATTTTTATAGCAAAGTAGTTTCAATGACAACACACACAGCAGTAAAAACCTGATAGCACTTCCAACCCTCCTGAACAGCAAACCCCCCCCCCCCCCCTCAACTAGCTGGAGTAGGGCTTAAAAATAGGATCAGAGCAGAACAGAAGTAAACAATAGTATTTGCAAAAAAAAATCAAACTGAAGGCCTTGTTATGCTCACCTAATATAAACAACGCCATTTTGGTCCACTCTACGTTGCCAGCCCACTGGAACCTGCACTGACAGCGGGGCACCATCGTTGTCTCCTCCATCACACACCTTTCCACCATTCATTTTCTTATTGTGATCCAGCCAAGATATTAACAGAAAGAGGACTGCCACATGCCATTGGAACTCATGTCTCTGAGAGGACCATTCCTGCACAGTTGTGTAATCCGCACAAAGTGCATTTGGTAAATAAAGTTTATGGCAAGTCAAAAAAATGGGTCACTATCTCCGTAATCCATTTCTGTGTGATACTCCACACGGATCAAGGAACAAAAAGCTCTCACAAAGCCACTGTATCCTCCGAAGATGAACTGGTAGAATCCATCCATGTGCTGTGGCCTATGCGGTGACACACGGAAAATAAGTACTTCATCCTTGTGTATCCAAATACGCTGTGATGGGAGCGGTGATGACGAATTACCTTTTTATATGCTGCATCCTTTCTGTCTTTTTTTTGTTTTCCAATCTGTAGAGAAAATGTTGTAATATTTCCTGGGGTGACCTCATGGTGTCACAAAGTCAGCTTTGCTCTCCTATAATAAGAGAGACAGACATTAATATCAAGGTAGTTTTCACACAAGATTACACATTTTATGCTACTTAATCACCTTGAAGCTTAAAGTATAACTAAAGGCAAAACTTTTTTTTTTCAGTTTTGGATAGAGTGTAGAGAGATTAGAACATCTGTAAGGTTTTTTGTTTTTTTTTATTGCGGTCTGTGTATTTGTTATGGAGAATTACCCTATTTGTCATGGCTACTGTTAATACCAAAACAAAAGAAAGAAAAAAAAAAAATCACTAATTTTGGGGTGTCCCCAACCAGTAAAAGCAGGGGAAATCCTTCCATAGAGGACACTAGCTCTGGTGACATCCAGGGTTTCCCTTTCTTTGGAGGGATTTCCTCTTGCTTCCTGTTATGGCTGTGGGACAGGAAGTAAAGGAAAACCTCCCAAATGGGACACAGATGGCAAAAAGAAAAATGGCAGAGGCTGTAACCCACACTTACGCCACAAAAAAAAAAAAACAAAACAAAAAAAAAAAACGTTTTTGCCTTTAGTTCTACTTTATAATTGTAGACAATGACATATTATGGAAAAAACAAATGTGAAAAATATTTATTAGCCAACAGTACAATTTACAAACAACAAAAAATTTACATGAAGAAAATACATTTATCCAGTCTGGGGACAAATACTTACTGCAAAACAGGATCCTTACCCATAAAAAAAACAATTTAAACAGATCACACATGGAATAAATACAGATCTATACCATCATTTTCAGTGTGTAAAAAGGATTCTAATAGATCTAAGCAAACATAATTAACCAGCCATATACGGGTCAAATTCTGAAATAATTTCCTTTCGAAAATCTTTTATGAGAATTTTTGTTCAAATTTCTCACCATTAGTGGGAATTTTTTTGAAAAACAAATTTCTAATCAATGACGGGAGAATCGAGTGAGAAATATAATCGAAAAAGAAATGAGCATGAGCTGTGACCTGGAAAGAAGAGAAAATTCTTGGCCACAAAAAATCTTTTCTGTAGCAACATGAGGTGAAATTGAAGGCTTGGTTGGTCAAATTTCGAAATCAATAGTGGCACCATCGGATTGCAAATCGCACAAAATTTTTGATTTTCAAAAGAAAATTAGTTTGAAATTCGACCAATATATGGCCTGCATTAGTGAATAATGATGAAATCCTATAGGACAAGTCCTTACTACAAAGATCACATATAAGATATAGAAAAATACCCTCAGCTGTTCCAACAAGTGAACATCGTATTAGCAACAGAGTGAAGACAGCCATACATGGGTCAAATTCTTTCGAAAATCTTTTCTAAGAATTTTCGTTCGAATTTCACACCATTAGTGGGCCACAACAGTAGATTTTCAAGCAACCATCAAATTTGAGTGATCAGGAATGTTGGAAATTTTTTGAAAAACAAATGTATTTCTAATCAGTGATGGGAGAATCATGCAAAAATTTTAATTTAAAAAGAAATTAGCATGAGCTGTGGCCTGGAAAGGAAAGAAAATGCTTGGCCATGAAAATTTTTTTCATGAGGTGAAATTAAAGGCTTGATTGGTTGAATTTTGAAACAAAATGGTGGCACCATTGGATTACAAAATGCACAAAATTTCTGATTTTCTACAGAAAATTTGTTTGAAATTCGATCCATATTGCCCACAGAAGTTATGGGTTATACTGCTGCCTACAGGAGGATTGGAAACTGGAAAACAAAAGAACTGTAAGCTGATCCAAAGTATAACCCCTCCCTCTAACAACATGCCTCAGTTTTTGTAACAAAGCAGTGCATGTCCTCCCTGTTCCTTTGTGGGTTTCCTCCGGGTACTCCGGTTTCCTCTCACACTCCAAAGACATTCTGGTAGGTTAACTGGCTACTATGTAAATTGTCCCTAGTATGTGTATGTATGAATGTGAGGTACCTTAGATTGTAAACTCTCTGTGGGCAAGGACTGATGTGAATGTACAATATAACTATCTATCTAAAGTGCTGCATAAACTGATGGCGCTATATAAGTACTGGAAATAAATAATACCAAGAGCATGATTATAAATACAGAAGGGTGGGAACTGTGTTCCTCACTGGACTCAAAATAAAAGTTAGAAAAAAAAAAAATTCTGGTGAGGGCAAAAATTCTATTTTCTTTTTCATTCAGTGAGGGGCATCATGGAAGAGATGTTTCAATAGTAATACAAATAATGAGCTGGCAACACAGCAAACAACTGCTAAAAGGCCCAAGGAAACAATAGAAAATTGGGGACTGCCATAGAATGAAGACATATTTGTAGGACTATATGTCTGAAGCTAGCATCAGATGAGATTGCAATATCCCCGATAGAACTTAAGAGAATATGTGAATCAAAGAGAAGGTGGGCAGCCTTGCAAATCAGGGAAACGGTACTTAAAGGAAGAAAACTCAAGAAGTAGTTATGGGGCTAGTAAAGTACACCTGTATGGGAAAGGGTGGAACCCTATCCTTGAGACCACAAGCTTGAATGATGCTCTATCTCAGGGGTCTTGAATTAAAATTTACGGAGGTCCAGTCAGCAAAATTTCCTTCCAGCATAGTTCCAAATCTCGTTAGTGATATAACAACACATCACAGTCCCCCCCGTATGATCTTTAGCGTACCTTTTGCACTGTAGTCCCGTCTACATCACAGTCCCCTCTTTAAAGAAGTCCCAGTGTCCTCTTTTCCCCCTTTATATCACAGCATCTCTTAACACAATGCAGCGCCTACTAACACAGAGCAAGCCTTCTTCCCCTGTATGGTCCTATGGTACCTTACATTAATCCTTCTGGGGTGTCCTCTCCTGGGCCTCTGGCCCACCACCAGCTGACAGCTCGTGAGGAGAGAAATGCCGATAACTGGAATTTCCCTATTTACATGTGATCAGCTGTGATTGGACACAGCTGATCACATGACCGAGCCGACATCTTCGGCTCTTTCCGTTGATTGGTGATCCGCTGTGTCCGAGGGACATAGCGCACCGCCGATCGCCGCGCATGCAAGATTAGAATGTGAGGACGACATATGACGTCCTCCGAGAACGAGAGAACCGCCTTGCAGCCGTCATTATACTATATGGCGGGTGGGAGGTGGTTAATGTTCCCTAACAAACCTCTGAGGGCTTCACAGAAATGCTGTATTTATACGGAGATTAAATTACACACAGGTGGACTCTATTAATTAGTGACTTCTGAAGGCAATTGGTTCCACTAGATTTTAGTTAGAGGTATCAGAGTAAAGAGGCTGAATACAAATGCATATCACACTTTTCAGATATTTGAAAACCATTTGTAAAAACCATTTATCATTTTACTTCCACTTCACAATTAAGTGCCACTTTGCGTTGCCTATCACATAAAATCCCCAAAAAATATACATTAACGTTTTTTGTTGTAACATGACAAAATAAGAAAAATTTCAAAAAAGTATGAATACTTTTTCAAAGCACTGTATGTGCAATGGTTTTGCCACAGCAGCCCCGATCCTCCTCTACTCGGGTCCTCCACTGGCACTTCTGGATCCTCCTTCCTGTTGAGTGCCCCAGAGCATGCAGCTTGCTATTGGGGCACCCAAGCAGGCTCGTTCCCTGGCTGCTACTCTGTGTGTCCATTCACACACAGAGCAGCGGCTCGGCCCGCTCCCTCTCCTCATTGGCTGAGATTGACAGCAGCGGCAGCCAATGAAAAGGGGGATTCCCCAGAGAGCCGAGGCTCACGTGCACATTATTGGATCTCAATGGGGCTCAGGTAAGTATAAGGGGGGCTGCTGAATGCAGGTATTTTACCTAAATGCATAGAATAGAAACCTTTAGGGGGGGGAGGAAGAGCCTGAACATGGTGCCAAGAGAGAGCTCAATGTGAGCAGTTAGCCAGAAATGCTTAGGAGGTGGTAACTTACCCGGGCTTGGTGTCGTACCTCGGCATAAGCCAGACGGGAGAGCGGTGCCCGTGTGGATGTCCGACAGTGGCGGCGGTGAGTGGCAGTGCTGAAGTAGAGGAAGGGGAGTGAGGGGCTGGTCGGTCTGAGACAGACTCTGTCAGAGCTCAGAGGGCCCCGGGCGTTCACGCGGCCGCTGCAGAGGAGTACTGGGAGGCAGAGACGCCGGCTGGGTGGACACGAAGGAGGAGATCCAGGCTCATCCAACACAGGCCTCCTACTGCCCAAGACCCGAGGAACCCCACGGAGGGTGGGACCCCCCCCCCCCCCAACATCACCACTGTAGAGGTGGACTTTGATCGTGATACTGTGTCAGTAGTCCCTGGGAGAGATCGTCTGCAGCCGCCTTAGTTAAAGTGATATGGAGTTGAAAAGATGAACAAGGGCGACAGGAGGTGGTGAGTCAAAATCAAAAATCAATTTACATTGTGTAAAGATCATTAGGAGGGGGATCACCCAGGGGGCCTAGACAGAGAAGGAGCTGAAAGAGAGATACAATAGGGATAAAGTCCTGGAGACCTCTTGAAAGGAATCGGTAGAGGGGA